CATGGACATACCATATACAAAATGTTCAAAAGAAAATAAAAACAACTGCAATACTGTATAAGGTACAATATGTTTTGAACAAAAATGCATTATATATATATTGTACAGTTGTCTCATCACTCCATATTTAACATATGGAGTAGAAATTTGGGGAAATACATATAAATCTAGAACTACTCCAGTCTTTTTATTACAAAAAAAGGTCATATCAGATTAATTACACATTCTTCATATAATACCCCAACAAATCCTTTGTTTATTCAGTTGAAAACATTAAAATTTTATGACTTGGTAGACTTGTGTACTGCTAAACTTATTTATAAGGCAAAACAACAAACCCTCCCTCAGTCTTTGCAAGCTATGTTCAGCGTAAGGGAAAGTAATTATGACCTTAGAGGGATATATATGTTTAACAAACCATATTGTAGAACTAAATTAAGTAGTAACTGCCCATCTAATAAAGGTGTTCAGTTGTGGAATAGTTTTCCTGATGAAATAAAAATGGCTACTTCATTACCACAGTTTAAAAGACTTTATAAAAGAATGGTAATAAAAAGATATACTCAATAAGAATAAGAATAATAATGATAATAATCACAATACATGTTCTTCTAAATATATATTCAGAATATTCAGTATTTCTTTATTTTAAATTTATGTCCATTAGTGCTGCTTGTGTGGAGTAAGGGTAGGCATAATAAGCTTTAGCTTCAGCCTACACCTTTGGTCAATAACATTGTTTTTTATTTTATTTTATTTTTTCTTTGTATGATTGTGTGTGTGCATACATGCTTTTATTCAAATGGATGTATGTACCCTTATGTTCTCAATCTCAAAATCTGAATGATAGATGGGTTTATTTATTTTGTGTGTTTTTAAGGGAGCCGTGCAATAGTCGGATGTGTATGGATGCGAGTGTGTAATTTTGCTGGGTTTTTATTATTTATGATTATTTTATTATCGAAGGATTGCATTTTAATTTTGTTGTACAATGTACAATGACAATAAAGATATAAAGATAAAGATAATCAACTAATCCTCACAGGAGTTTATGTATTTTTTAGGTTTGAAACTGTAGAAGGTCAGACCTTTTATCACACAATTATTTACTAATGAATTACAACAAATTTGACACATGGCCTCCTTGAAAAGGAGATTTATTTATTTGTCACAGATTTATGTGCTGGTGGAATTTTAATTAGCTGCAGCCCATATGATACTGGAATAATTAAGCTAGTTTTAATGTAAAGACATTACAGTGAACCTTTTTAAATAAAGGCCAGTGCTGCAGTAACCTCCTGATTGGCCAAAATAAATGTAAATCAATATAAAGCCAGTACGATAACGCTGTCAACAATGACACTGAAGTCATTTAAAAAAATTGATATTAATAAAGGTTTTTAAAAAAATTACTATTCATGGAGCAGTAAGGATGTAAACATGCGCTGGGATTGAGCACACTCACCGCACAGCTGATTGTAGAACTGTCCCATTTATTTTATGCAGACAAATACATCCCTTCTCTGATGGCTGGCTAAAGATGACATGGAATGTTACAGTAAGATTCGCTTTCTTGCATAAAATGCTCACTGTTGAAAATGTTGCAAAAGTGTCTGAAGTGTTCATTTTCATGTTGCCCCGCTTTCTGCTTTCTTTTTTTTAATCCATCAACACTATCACCAAACACTGTACACTGACTTGGCCTTATCAGGAGAATAAAACAAACTTAACTCAGCGGCAACACTGCAATATTTTTTAAATCTCTGTAGTCAACACAAGAGTGCAGTCAGTCTGTATGAGGGTGGAGGGGGGAAGGGGAGCTATCAGCTCACGTGATAAGCATACGATGATGCGTATGAAAGTCCAGGTCACTGATGTGGTCCGAGCAGACCTCGGAAACTCCGCTCATCGTGGGTGCTTCATGTCACCTTGGATGGGGCTCATGTGGAGCACATGGATTGAGAAGACACATTCAAGATTTCTTCATTATTAAAAACAAAGAGCTGAAAGTGAGCCTGGTCAGGACTCTCCGTTCTGGACTCTGGAGACCGGTGGCTGCATAAAGTCTTTAAAGGGCCCCAATGCCTCCTTCAGGGCTGAGCTCACCTCAGACGAGGAGCATGTAATGCACTCTACCAGTGTGGGGTACAGGGCAATCACCTGAGCCCATGTGTTGCCATCCACTGCAGGCAATGAACAAAACAATTGCAGAACATGAACAAAAATACAGAGGAACGGGGATGAAAGGAAGAGGAAGGAAGAGAATATGAATTGTGGCAGAAAGCAATCAGCAAAATCATTCCTTGATAAACATCCCACAGGCATATGGAAATTAGTTTTTCCTCTGAATAAAGGGCAATGTAATGCAGACAATAAGCATTTCTTGTAAACAGTTCTACCCACAATGAAGATAAAAGCAATCTGTACTCTGACACATTTATCTGATATGAATAGATGACAGATCTGGTTATTACTGTATTCTTTTGTTATTCCCCCCCACCTCTATTTTTCCTCTCCTTTCCAAGATCAATTTAATCCTTGACGCAGTATGATACTCACCGTTTTCTGGCTGTGTCTTTTTAAGCGAGTCCATCAAAGTGCTGATAGCTTTCAAGACAAAGATAATCTCTGTCACTTGTTGCCTAAAATGAAGACGACCAGACCTTCATTAGAGACAAAGATGTACAATCCATAAAACCTGCAGACATTTCAATTAGGTAATGTAAAAATACAAGGCAAGGTTAATTTGAGATGTTTTCTGATGCACTCTTATAAGTGAACTGACAGAATATATTACAAGGCAAACAAGGCAACAGAAAGAAACTTTAAAAGTTTGTAAACTTATGTAAACTCTGTATATCACATACAGTGTATAATGTTACTGGTCCTGGTTTTCACTGCTAAATGTCATGGTGCTAACACAGAGTATGGAGCTGAATTCCTGATGAAACATGTACTAAAACAGGGGTTTTGTATGTGCAACATGTTGTATTGTGTGGACAGCAGGGTCTACCTGGGCAGGGGGCAGCGTCCGCTCAACCTCTCATCCTCTACGTAGCACCGGAGAACATCTTGGGACCTCTTGAGGAGCACAGAGAGTGCCATACGAGAGATGTAGCCCTCCTGCGGGGTCGACACCTTGTTGCTGAAGGAAAACTGCAGCAGTGTCTCAAAGCACACCTTAGAAAACTCCTCCCTCATCCTCACATCGATCTCTGCCTCTGTCGAAAGAAGACCATTTACATTATAGACATTTGGCTGACGCCGCTCTGCAGAGTGATTTATGAGTGGCCACAGAGGGCTGTGCTACGGTGCTCAACACAGGAAGAGTCTGACAGGAGCCACTGCTGATCATGAGCCACATGGAGGGTTTTGGAAATGAAACAAGGACTTAATTGTTACAGTCAGATTCCTTCAGCATTTTTTAACCAGCACTTGCCCATTCCGCTGTTCTCTTCATGTCACAAATACAAGCAAAAAGCACTGCTGAAATCATTTTTGCTGCTAAAGTTGCATCTTACCTGTGAATGAGGGAGACTGTGAGTGAATGGAACCCTTATTGAGCATAGCCATGATCTGGCCAACAAAGTCTTTGGGGATGAAACTAGCAAATGGTAAAATCTCTGTGCTAATCAGCTGGACCACCTAAAATAAAGAGGACAAAACAATGATGTGGGCAAACGTGCAAAATCTTGGAGACGCACTAGATGCTGGGAACAAGCATTTACCTCTACATCAATGGCTTCATTCTTCTGAAATTCCTGAATGGATAGGTTGTCTGGAGGTGTGCTAGAAAAGGAAAACAACGAGGTTGCTACTTAAAACGTTAGCAAAATGTTTACGTGTGTGTGCGCGCGTGCACACATATATATATATGGACATGCAGACCTAATATCAAGGCGTTCTAAATGTGCACCTTTTGGTAAACAGAAAGTCTTCAAAGGCATTTGCCAGCTCTGGCCACATAGTGTCAAACTTCCCAGATGAGGCGTGCTGGCGTGCCACAGGCAGTCCAACAGATAACACCTTGAGCAGAGACGAAACAGCGAGCTTCCAGGTGCTCTCTGATGGACAGGCATACTTCAAACCCAAGGGCATCCTTAAAGTCTTTCAGGTGAAGGGGAAAAGAGAGAAAGCAATAACAACCATGAGACTGAAACACTGACTTCAAGGTAAAACCTGTACAACTAAGTTGAGTACCTCAAACTTTCCACCCTGTTTCTGTTTTATCCTGGAGAGACTTAAATTCATAAGATTAACATCAAAGTGGTATTTGAAGACTCAGTGTTCAGTCTCCTATACCAGAAAAGGTAATGGCCCATCATTTTGACCAAATCCTTCCCCTTGGTTTCCCAAGGTTGAGATTTTAAAAGTGTTGCTTTCTTGTTTTGGAGACAAAAAAAGTGGTGTGGATGAGTTTTTGATCTGTGAATGTGAGTTTGAATGTTTGGCAGATTGCTAGCATACTGGCAAGACTGGCCAGGTCGGATGTCAGTAAGATTTTCCACTGAGACAACAGTTCTGCTCATGCACGAGGTGAGGGTACACAATCACTAATCAGAATGGTACTTATTATAAATACATATGTATTGATGTGCAGAACACCTGTTGAACAGTGTCATCTTTTTATATTTTAAGTTTTGCATGTTCCAAGATATAACAAGCACAGTGCACGATCATTGTGCATGCACCTAGGCAGCCGTGCATCACAACACAGTCAAAGCATAGATAATTTACTTTGTTTTTGAGAATTGGAGAAACAGGTTACTATTCATTTTAATGGCTATTCTTGTGTTGTTTGTTTTTAAAAATTACTTTTATTATTTGTTATATGCTTAAATAAAACTAATCTAATTTGTCTGATTCCATACTAATTTATATTTACATTACAAACCTTCAAATCAATTCCAAAACTTTACTAGGAATTTCATGGCCATGGCCAGTGTGAATACCTTATCCTGGTCAACATACCTTGATGATGTTCTGCAGAACTTTCTCATTGATGACAGCTTTGTGGCACGCCGTTTTATGGTACAGGTCCACCACCACCTCCAAGGAGCGCTCAGCAAAGGGTACATAGTTTAAGGCAACCCATTCAGCCTGTTGTGGCAAGAAGATTTAACAAGAGAAAAATACAAGAGTGGACCATTATTCAAACTAATCTGAAGCCCATTATCCCTACCTTTTGGCAGAGCCACACAGAAAGCAGTTTTAAAGGCACACTTTGTATTAGTATATAGAAAACACACAAACTTATCACATAGGTTATTAGTCTTAAAGATTTCTTAGGCTTATATGAGCACAGCTGAAATGTTAAAGCCAAATAAATGGTTCAATGCTACCAAGTGTGTCTTTAATAAATATAAACAAAACCACACATGTGCATATAAGCATCACCAAAAACACAAAATCAACTGAAAATGTAACTGCACAGGGGCTGTGCACACAGAGGCATAACCACCAGTTAGTGGCAGGCAGAGAAGGGGAGCACGGAGTGAGTGAGAGATGCATATGAGATATGAGAGCCTACCATGCGGTATGATAGCTCATCTACCGCAGAGGGTAGGTTGTCTCCATTCAGCACAGCTTAGTACAGCTATATAGAGGGCTGAAGGAGGTGATGAACTCACCGGTGCAAACAGCTGGATCTAAAATGGTTATCCAGTGAGTAGTCCCAGAAAACAAAATAAGAGAAGACTGCAATTAAACTTGTGTCTTAAATTTGTATCGAATTTAAAGTGTCATGTTAGCTACATACGATTTAATGCTCAGGACTGATTTAGGGCTAAAACACTCTTAGCACCAAGGACATTTGAGGAGATCTGACAATGCTAGATAAAAGCCAAAAAAGGCAGTAGAGACCACCCATAACAACTGTTTGGTTGGTTGCAAATTTTGTTTGACCCTGACCTACACAATTTAAAGAGATCAACAAAAATGTCCAGCATAGGGCCTGAGTCTGGGCCCCACAGGTAGGAAGTAACAGACTGACAATGAAGATTTGAGACTGTGCGCATATCCGCTTGTTAAGCGGTGATGTAACATTCTGTTTCCAGGTCCAAACTTCATTTCATTCTCCTCCTCTACATATACCACAGTGCTGTTTTCCCCATTGTTTCAACAGATCTGAATCAAAAATCACAGGTCAGCTGTCATTTCACCATTGTCCTTATAATGAGAAGGAGAAAAAGAAATTATTACAGTTGATTAGAAAAGTCATAGTATTCTGATGAAAGTAACAGTAAAAGTATTAAAAACAAGTTAGACATACTGGATAACTTGATATAGGCTATATATTAGAATAAATTTACTACTACGTGTAATAAAGTTTGGTTATTATGCCACCAGACAGAGCAGCAACACTGACTACTCTATTTGAATCCAAATGATGCAGTCAGAAAAAAAAGCTGTTGTTATGTGGAGGATGACTGGCTCGGCCATTTGGGCCTGAGGGACCTTGGACCTGAAAGTTGAACATTATGCCACACTTAACAAGCGGATCACTTTAACATTCCTCAGCATAGCATCTGCTTGATTTTAGAACATGACAAGCTACTTGTACATTTCCAGAACAACAAGGAGAAAGCTGCGGCTATCACAACAATGTTGTGAGAAGACTGCTCTGTCCTTGAGAAGAAATGAAAATTGTATGTGGTTTAACAAAAGCATAATCTTGAAGCACAAAAAGTAGAAAAAGCTGAAAAGTAGTAAAAAGATCACTAATCAAAGAGGAGGGATGATCTTGTTGAGAAAAGCTGAAGAGAGAAGGATGATTAATAACAGTGTTCACCACCCAAAATATTTATAAAACTAAAGTAAAAAGCAGCTAAAGGAAGTTCAATTCCCTGTCCCCCTACCTGGTTGTATTTGGCATTGGCCACGTGTTTGGTTTCCACCCTGCCATACTGAGGAGGCTTGCAAGAGAACTCCACGAAGAGTAGCAGCTGTTCAAAGATGGCTGGGTACATGACCTGCAGGTTCTCGGGGCCCACACAGATGGCCTGCAGCAGGGAGGGAAGGAAGGAACAAACACTACTGACATCCAGCATAGGACTATATATTTCATAATTTAACACTGACACATTGTTTCCTGGGCTGAGTTGACAAAATCGGAAAAATATCTTTTGAGTCAAAAAGGAAAAGAATCACCCCTAATTTTATTATTTTATGAAGCAAAACATTTGCCTGGTTCCCTGCTTGTGCCATTTCACATTTGTGTATTTGCTGCTTTTCTTAGTTTTAATTTATTTGAACTTTCTTGTTAACCAAAACAAGCTATCTGAAGACATCACCTTGGGCTCTGCGAAACTGTGGTGTGTCTTAGACCCCTGGGCTCTATGACATCCATTGCTATTTGTAGGGTAGATGATGCATAACATATATTAAAAACCTCTTAAGTTGAGGTATTTTTGCTTTCTGACAATACACTTCTTCTGCTCACCTTCTGCAAAACATCCAGAGCTGTGAGTACTGCTTCCTGAAGGCTAGTCAGCACTGCCTCAGTGAATGAGGGGAGGATGAAGGGGGAGGCATCACTGCTGATAGGCACAGACACAGCCCCATGGAGGATGAGCCCTAGCTTCTTCAGATCGTCCATGCTAAAGCTGGCCTTGATGTGCTGGTAGAGTGCTGGGAATATCTGGACCAAAGCTGTGAGGAAGGGCTGGCTAGGGATAAAGGAGAGTTTCTCCGTCGGACCACTGGGTGGTCTTGTGCTGTCCGTTCCCGTCCGATACCATGTGTTCCATGCTGACCACCACAATGCAGAGTCCTCCAAGGCTGACTCCTCCCCTGGGGGAGGGGCCTGCAGCTCAGCACCATTGTAACACGTCAGCCGCTCAACTAGTGAATCTGACCGCACCAAGGGTCTGCCAGGACCAGACAATGTAAGGGGGTCGATGAGCACGGGGGGCATGCCCATAGCAGCGAGTGTATCACTTGTTTTGTCTGACTCTTTAACAGGTGTAACAATCTGTAGGATCTCTTGAAAGCTCTTGAGGGCTGCCAAGGAAAC